TTGAACATGGGCGTACAAATACCTGTTTGAGTCCCTGCTTTCAGTGCTTTTGAGAATAGACCCAGAAGTGGAATTGCTGGATCATGTGGTCATTCTCTGTTTAATTTGTCTGTGTGTGTGTGTGTGTGAGGAAGATTGGCCCTGAGCCAATACTTGTGCCAGTCTTCCTCTATTTTATATGTGGGATGCCGCCACAGTGTAGCTTGACGAGTGGTGCTAGGTCTGCGCCCAGAATCCGAACCTGTGAACCCTTGGCCACCAAAGCAGAGCACACGAACTCAACCACTATGCCACCAGGCCAGCCCTCTGTTTAATTACTTTTGAGGAACTGTCGTACTGTTTTCCACAGTAGCTGCACCATTTTACCTTCCCAAGCCCCTGACTTCTTATGATTGCCTCATTTTCTCCATTTCCTCCCCCACGAGCAATGATGTTCTGCTGTACTTGCTAACGGCTTCCAAAGAGAGGATGTCTGTCTTCCTTTTCTATAATTCCCGGAAAGACTTTAAAGCTGAGATGGTCCTTAGAGCTCATCCAGTCAAACTTTACGCATTTTTCAAGTGAGGAAACTGAGCCCTAGAGATGGGAGGCGGCTGGCTCGTAGTTACATAGCAAAGCCAGGATCCACCTTTTGTGACTCCCAGGCCAGTGTTCTTTTGGACTCCACTCTTCCACTAGTCCATGACTCAGTTGCCAAATGATTGCAGGTACCGTCTGTGTCCCCGTTCATGATTCTTCCTAGGAGTGGAGCAGAGGATGCCTGGGATCCTGGAGTGGGGGCGGGGAGGAGGGGAAACTAGACCAAGGCCCTGGGAGGAAAACGATCTTTTCAGAGCTGCCACACCTCGGAACAGAGCTTGACCCCTTCTCTTGCACAGGAGAAACCGCCATACAACCTCAAGGCCTTTAAGCTGCGCATCAACTTCCCCGAGGAGTATCCGTTCAGGCCCCCCACGGTGAAATTCACAACCAAGATCTACCACCCCAACGTGGACAGTGACGGACAGGTGTGCCTGCCCATCATCAGCAATGAGAACTGGAAGCCTTGCACCAAGACCTGCCAAGGTGGGGCTGGGTCTTGCTTAAAGGGAGGGACCAATACTTGGGGTTACAGGACTGATTTTGAGTTAGAAAAGCCCCAAGAGAGGAGATAAAAATTGTGGCTCTCAGCTGAGGCTGCCATCAGATAGAAGGGATATATCCTGAGATCCTGGGCTGGCTCATCTGCTTCTGGCTCTGTTGTGATACCTGGGCAGGTATGACAGAGCAACGTTGCTATGAATCATGGGAGAGATAAGTAGCTGGGCTGTAGAGGGAAGGGCTTGGGATAAGGAGGCCCAGTGCTCTGTGTGTGGACCCTGGTGAAGTCTGTTCCTCTCCAGGGCTCCGTGCTCTATATGACAGTTGAGGGGCTAATAGTGATCATACACATCAGTTAATTAAGCACTTTCAGCACTGTGCTAAGAGCATCACACATCAGCTTCATTTAATCCCCCCAATATCCTCCTGAGATGGTGCTATCATTAGCCCCATTTAACAGATGAGGATGCCAAGGCATATGGGACGTGAAGCACTTGCCTGAGGTGGTGCAGCTGGCAAGTGGCAGAGCTGGGATTCCAAGCCAGGCTTGGCTGACCCTAGAGCAGGGCTGTCCAGCAGAGCTTTCTGCAGTGGTGGAAATGTTCAATAGCTGCACTGCCCTATTCCATAGTCAGTAGCCACGTGTGGCCATTACACACTTGAAATGTAGCCAATGTGACTGAAGAACTGAATTCTTTTTTTTTTCCTTTTTCTCCCAAAGCCCCTACCCCACCCCCCGTACATAATTGTGTATTTTTGGATGTGGGTCCCTCTAGCTGTGACACGTGGGACGCTGCCTCAGCATGGCCCGACAAGCGGCGCTATGTCCTCGCCCAGGATCTGAACTGGCGAAACCCCGGGCCATGGAAGCAGAGTGTGCGAACTTAACCACTGGGCCACGGGGCCGGCCCCAAGAACTGAATTCTTAATTGTAGTTTATTATTTTTATTTTTATTCAGTGTCTTCCTTTTCTTCGTTTTTTGATGGAGATCAGCCCTGAGTTAACATCTGCTACCCATCCTCCTCTTTTTGCTGAGGAAGATTTGCCCTGAGCTAACATCTGTGCCCATCTTCCTCTACTTTTTATATGTGGGATGCCTGCCACAGCATGGCTTGATAAGCAGTGCGTAGGTCCGTGCCCAGAATCCAAACCAGCGAACCCCAGGTTGCCAAAGTGGAGGGCGCAAACTTAACCATTACGCCACCGGGCTGGCCCCTGTAGTGAATCCTAATTAATTTAAATTTAGATGACCACATGTGGCTAGTGGCTACCATATTGGACAATGAGCTGTAGAGCCTATGGGTGTAATCAGTGTGCCCCTGGACCAGCTCAGGAGTTCTTAACCCTGAAAGTAAAGATCCTGGGCTGGAGAGGAGGAGTGGTCCTTGGATGAGCTTCAGGGATTCTGTGAAGTGCTCTTAACTCAGAACTGCATGCCATGCATACGCGGATGTGCCCTTGCTGGGGACATGGGCCACTGCCTTCGCCGGGTTCCCAAGGGCACCTGTGAAAGATAAGCACCATGAGGCAGTAGTGTTTTCCAATCTTCAGCCTCAGAACCCTTTTTCCCAAATACAAGTTTATTTGGAATCCTAATATCAAACAGAGAAAAACAGTGGTTCTTGCTGGAGAGGGGGTGGGACCTAGAAACCCCGTGTATCTCCCCCACCCCCAGGATGGGAAGCTTCTCTGGAGCTGTGGGACGCAGTCTGAAAAGCACTGATACAACCAGTCAGGCCTTTGGGCATCATCAGCAGAGAAAGCGAGGGGTGTTTGATTTGGCTGTAGAGTCATCCCAAGAGATGGAACCTCCTTGGGGGTCCCCCAGGGAGAGAGTGTGGCATTTCAGGGGGATCTGGGAGCGGGCAGCATCACCTCCTTCCCAGGACTTTTTCTCTCCATCCTGATATTCTGATGTGGTCTCTCTCCCCAGTCCTGGAGGCCCTCAACGTGCTGGTGAACACACCAGACCTGGGGCAGCCCCTTCGGGTGAGACTCGCTGACCTGCTGATGCAGGACCCGGAGCTGTTCCACAGGGAGGCCGAAGAGTTCACCCTGCAGTTTGGAGAGGCCCGACCCTCCTAACTCTGCTTCTGACCCCTCCCCGTGCCGGCTCCTCTCTGTGTGATGGACAGACACTCCTCATGGACTAGGGGTCAGAGCCCCTTGGTGGCCCATTCCCTTCTCATCTTTTCCACTTTTCCCTTCTTGGGTTGTTAGTCATTCGTTTGTGTGGGAGGTCGGGGAGGGGCCGCGGATACGTGTGTGTGGGGTGTGGACCTTCTCCGGGGTTCACCTGGCCACAGGTGTGCTTCCCCCACTCCCTTTCTCTGCCCCAGAGCCGGGGCAGTTTAGGTTTGCAGAGCTACAGGCGAGCTCTCCGGTGCTCTCCAGTGTGAGAATCCTGGGCTCACTCGTTGCTCCCTCTGAGAGACACAGGTCACCTTCCAGGCCAGCTTGCGGGAAGCGGACCCAGCAGCCAACCAGAGTCCCCCCAGGGCCCAGGTGTCAGGGGGCAGAGGGAAGTTGAGGTGGGGGTGGGAGGCAGCGCATATGGAGCGCATCATATTTACAAGTGAGTGCTTTGTTGATCGACTAATCGAAATCAGCTGGACTATGGATGGACGTGCATAGATTTAGGCGCTAAACCTTTTCTCTTCCACAAAGTGAAGAATACAGTCTCCATCCCAGAAATCTTACCACATGGTTTCTAACCACTTGCCATCCCATTAGGTGGCTAGTTCCTGAGGGCCAGGCTTCGGGCTGGGAGAAGTGTCCCTTCTGGCTTCCAGTCCAGGGGGAGCCACAGAAACCATGTGCTTGTCTAGCCATTAAAGTCACAGATGAATTGAGGAGTCTGGCTGAGTGTTTGCGGAGGGCTTGCAGTGGTTTCATCAGGAGGAGGTGAGCTGGGGATTTAGCTGCCATCTAGCAAAAGGTGTGACCCTCCTTCCTGTGAACTGATGGCTCACCCGGCATCGTGTAACCCCAAACGTTGTGAGGAAAGCTGGCCAGGAGGGGCTAGGCCATCCTCAGCCAGAGGGGCCGTCAACACGTCCACAGGGGTAACATTCCCATTTTATAGATGAGGCAACTGAAGTACAGAGTGCCTCAGTGGATTGCCAGGTCCGCTGTGCCCATCAGGGCAGAGCCCACACCTGCCGCAGTGCCAAGCTGGCTGGCTTTTGTTCTTGTGATTTTCGTGAGCTGTTCTCAGCAGCACAAACACTCCAAATGGCTGATGAAGCTGGACAGGCTTATTAGCAGGAAATGATGATCAGCTCAGGGGTTCATCGCTAGTGAGCCAAAACTTCAGCCAGAGTTGGAGGGATTAACTTAACCTGAAGGAAGAACTTTCTGGGTGCAATGGTTCTAAGCTACTGGAACACCACTGGCTTTTCAGAGACAGAATGTGGAGTATCTTTGAGTCAACTCAAACTACTAGCCTAGTTTGGGTGAGATTTCTAGAGAATCTTCTACTCCAGGCCTGGCCCTGGAATTCCCTAATATGGGAGAAGTGTGGAAAGAGGGACGAGAATTGGGAAAACTGCCATCAGTGGCTTGAAATATAAGGTTTATTTTTTATTTTTGGCCACCCATTATTGACCACTTAGGTGACAGGCACCAGGCAAGGCTTGGTGTCCATTTCATTATCTCATGTAACCCTCACAACACCTGCACGAGGTTTGAACTCCCCTTATCCCCATTCAGATGGTCAATTGAGGCTCAGAGAGGTTAACTCACTGGCCCAAGGTCACCCAGCTGGTTAGTGGTAAGACCCAGGCCTTTGTCCTTTCCCAAATGCCTTTCACGGTTGCTGAGATCATGTCAGGTGAGGAACTTTGGCAGCTGCGGTTTGTTGTCCTGGAGTGAGAGATGTTCCTGGGCAGGGTAGGGAGGGAGCGCTAAGGGGCCAGACTGGATTTTACAAAAGTACTTTTAATGCAGTTAAGACTGGTGCCACCTGCCCTTGCCTGAGTCCCAGCTGGTCAGCTGGGCGCCCTGCCCAGCTCTGCCCGCAGGGTCAGTCACTCCTCATTTCTTCTTGGTCTTCACCAGTCCCTTTTGCACAAGGCTGCGGTACAGCTCCTGGATGTAGGTGTAGACACATTTGGAGTCAGGCACCGCCAGCCGCACCATGTCATCCACCTCCAGCAGCTGGGCGCAGTCGGCTAGTTTCCTGAGGGGCAGGGGTGGGGTGAGGAAGAGAGAGTCGAAGGTGAAGCAGGTGGGCGCTAGAGGAAGGGGTAGGGCAGCCCGGCGAGGATGAAACCCACAGGATTGTGTATGTTGGAGCTGGGAGGTCATCTGAGCAACCATCCCATTGTACAGACGAGATAACTGAGGCCTGACAGTCAAGAGTCAGACTCAGCTTTGATTCCAAAGCTCATGTTTTCATTGGACTGTGTGTCCTCATATGGGAGCGGGACCCTCTAGTGTCTAGTTCCACGTTAACCCACCCCTTTCACCTGCTAGTCTATCTGTCCTCTGGAAGGCCAGGCTCCTCAGGAAGAATTGGAAGGCCAAAACCCCAATCCTATTTAGTGTTGGCTTGCGGCTGCAATAGCGCCATCTTCATTCAATCTCTGTGTATTTGAGGGCCTACTATGTGCCAGGCATTCTTTTAGGGAAGTCAGCTCTGAACAAGACCAAAACATCCCCACTTTCGTGTCACTGACATTCTTGTGGCAGAAGACAGACAGTAATCAAATCACGAAATAAATAGTACATCAGATGGTGAGAGGTGCTATGGAGAAAAATAAGGCAGGGAAGGGAGATGGTATGTTCCTGTGTTAGACAGGGGCTATTTTTAGTAGGGGGCTAGGGGAAGGTCTCTTAAAGAGAGTAAATCATGTGCACATCTGGAGGAAGAAGATTCCAGGCAGAGGAAACAGCATGTGCAAAGGCCCTGAGACAGGAGTGCTTGCTATGTTTGAGGAACTGCATGGAACTTAGCAGCCAGTCCTCTTTTTCTAACTTCCCAGCTGCTCTTTGGGGCCATGTGCTACTTCTGGCTTTGCTGAGACCGATCATCTGAGCTAAGCACTTTTGGGGCCTTGCTGCCCTGTGCCAGGTACTTTATCACAAGACTACCCCTTGAATGGTCTCATGTACTCTCCTCCATCTTCAACCAGCAGAAGAGCAACTGCAAACTCAGAACATTTGGCTGATTTGCCCAAGGTCAAAGTGAGTGACACAGCTGGGACTCAACCCCAGGCCTGCTGATGCCTCTGGCATCTTTGCCCTGAAGCCGGGTCTCAGCCGTCCCAGCCAGCCAGACCGCGTGGGTGCTGGCAGAAGGAGAAACCAGGGTCCCAGCGGAAATCCTCTCTTGGGGCTGAGACAGCTGGGCTGAAACCCAAGCCATACTGGCCTGGGAGCTGGGGGAGGAGCACAGACTGGAAGGTTTCGAAGAATCCAGTGCAGTGATCTCGGCTCCCTGGGTGTAGGCCCAGTACTGGCCTCCTGCACAGGAGAGGCAAGCGCTTCACTCCCATTGAGCCTGGGGAGCATGGCCAGGCTCCTCCAGCAGCACAACTGATCGAGCTCAAGCACTGGCTGTTCCCCTCTCTTATCCAAGCATTCCATGGGAATCAGAGGACAGTTCTGGAACAGCAGGGGCAGTGGGATGTGATGGCTGTGGCAGGGCCCCCTTACTTTGCACTCTTAATCTTCACGTCAAACCCTGAGAGAGGTTAAGTCAGCTGCTGAGGGTCACAGAGCTAAGAAGGAGGAGGCAGGACTCAAACTCAGCACCTCAACTCTATTTTCCACCCTCCATCCCCATGCATCCCCACCACATACTTCTCACTGCCTGACGCCTCCTGTCAGTCATCCCCATAACCCGATTATTCTGCTTTCCTGTGGCTCTGCCTGGTTGGAACCAAGGCAAGGACAATGACCTGTGACTCACAGGCCAGGGACATTTGGTCAAGGCCGAGCTGTGTGCCCTTCTGATGTTCACTTGGAGCTCTCAGCCCTGACCGGGGGGTCTCACTTTCAGATTCCGGTTCTGCCGCAGCCCACCTGTGCGACCTAGGACACCGTGCTACCTCTCTACTTGTGTCCACGCTCCGGTATTATTGTGAGCATCTGATGAGATGAGACAAGGAAAGCACTTAGTAGAATGCCTGGTACCTAGTCTCGCTTGATTCCTATGGCTTATCATCATCTTTAAAGGTGTTTCTGAGCCCAGAGCAGGACATGCCGCTCCCAGCCCGCTAAGCCCCGCACTCCAGGGTGCTCACCCCATCCCTTGGCAAGATAATATGAAAGTGGAGGGATCTTGCGGAACATCAAGTCTAGTGGTTTGCAAATGGCATCCTTGGTGCCCAAGGCCCTACAGAGATGCTTCAGGGACCATCTTGGAAAGGAGGATTGAGCGCTGAGCTGGGGTGCTCCAGGAACCCCCCCAACCTAAAAGCTCCCCCTTTAATCTGTTTTATATGTTGGGCATTCACTTAATATTTTGTTTGAGGAATCTGCTGGGAAAAAAACCCATTGTAAAGCACGGATCACTGTAATCCTCTCATTTTCCCCATGGAGACACGCAGGCCCAGAGACGGGGAGATTGCTGCCCTGGGCTTCTCTGCAGGTTCATGGCCAGGCCTGGGCCAGACGAGAGGGCTCAGCCTCCAGAGCAAGGTGCTGCTAACACCCCCGCTGACTTGTTCCCTGTCCCAGGGCTTTGGAAATGCCCTCAGCTGTCCACTCTGGGGCCTCAGGGTGGCCCTCATTAGCCACGCCCTCTGCATAGTCCTGTCTCTACCAGGTGGCTCAGAAGCCTCTCCCTGGGGCTGGAGAGAACGGGGCTCCAGGTATGAGCTCCTTGGGAGCCCTAAGGCCATCAGGGGGTGTCCAGGCCTCACAGGTGGGTAGAGGGGGAGGCCTCTGGCTGAGGCTGGTTTTGGTGCCTTGGTGGTGGGAGTGCCTCCCCCTCCCCCAACAGCCACGTCTTTGCCTCTAAGGTTCTTCTTGGGCTACACTGTTCCTCACACCCCTCCTGACTTTCTAGTACCGCCCCTTTCTCCATCCCAGCAGTACCCCTGGCACCCAGCTATGTGAGCCTCAGCAATAAACCTCCCTCCAGGTTCCCAAGTGAATAATAATTATCATCACAACTGTGATATCCTTCCTTATAATAGAGGGACAGCAGCTAAGATCTTTTTGAAGTGTTTGCTGTGGGTTAGGCACTGTTAGAGGGACTTAATTATGTACTTAATTCTCACACTAGCCCTGCAAAAGAGGAAATGTCATGCCCATTTTAAAGATCAGGATTTGGAGGGGCCAACCCGGTGGCCAAGTGGTTAAGTTCACATGCTCCGCTTCGGCAGCCCAGCGTTTCGCCGGTTCGAATCCTGGGCGTGGTCCTAGCACTGCTCGTCAAGCCATGATGAGGCGGCATCCCACATGCCACAACTAGGAGGACCCACAGCTAAAATATACAACTATGTACTGGAGGGGCTTTGGGGAGAAGAAGGAAAAATAAAATCTTAAAAAAGTAAAGATAAGGATATGGAGGCTCAGAGAGGTAAAGGAGCCTGTTCAAGATCACACAGCGAACAAATGGCAGAGTCAGAATCTGACCCCAAATCCCTTCAACCACCGTGTCTGAGCCAGCAGGCCTGCCTCTCCTCCGTCCCTTACCCCGCCTGCATTTCCTTTACGGCGCCTACTCCCCTTTGCAGTATATTTCAAGTGCATGTGTGTGTTTATGATCTGTCTCTCCCTTTAGAATGTAAGCCACGGGCAAGCGGGGATTTTGCTGGCTTCACCCACTGCCATGTCCTGAAACAGTTCTTGGTGGTCAAAAAATGTCTAGTGGATACATGAATGTGTGGCCACAGCCTCTATCTGAGCATCCTATGACCTCGCCCTAATGTAGCACTTGCCTTAGGCGGCCCCCGAGCTCCCACCCGACTCTGCCATCCGTGGCTGTGGCTTACTCTGCCGTGGAGAACGCCAGGGTGAAGTTGTGCCGGCGCTGCGTGGGGTCCAGCGCCGTGTAGTCAAAGGCATCGGGGAAGAACTTGTGGATGAGGGCGCAGAAGGCCATGCCGCTGCTCCAGCTTGAAGAGAAGTTCTGGATGTCCACGTGCTGCGGGCGAGAGGGGCCCAGAGCAGGCCTTGGTGAGCCTCAGGCCAGAGGGCCTGGACTGTGCCCCTCTGAGCCTCCTCCTTTCTGGGCTTTGTGCCACTCAGACCCTCCCTAGCACTGCTGCCCTGGGGAAGGGTCCCCTGCCCCACCGTGTGACCCTGTTCCATGCCCACCTCGTATTTTTTGGTCATGGCCCGGCACCACTCCAAGAGCATGTTCTTGACACCGCCAATGGCTGCCCCAGCTGCCTTGGTGTTTCGGAACAGGGCTGTGGTGCCCGAGGCTGCCCTGTAAGGGGAGAGGTGGAGATGGCCAAGCCAGAGAGGTGGGAAGCCATGAAGGGCCCCATCAGGGAGGACTCCCAGCCCCAGATGTCAGTCCTCCCACCTCGGCCTGGGCTGTTCCCACTGCCCCACCGTCCTCCCGCAGACCAACCAAGGTTCCCAGGGAAAGCCCAGCCCAGCCAGCTCCTCGCCTGCATCTTACCCGCCAAACTTGTCCACGATGGCTTTGCGGTTCTGTGCACGGGGCCCCCGGGGCCGGGCAGGGGCTGACACCCTGCGCTCAGGTACCTTCTCCTTCTTCTTCTCCTCCTGTGAGGGAGGGGGCTCCTTGGGACTCTGGGGCACATCGCTGGGTGAAGACTCACTGCATGGAAAGGTTCAAAGATGTATGAGAGGGCCTGGGGCCAGCCACTGCAGGGTACCGGCAGGGAGGGCAGAGGGCTGGCTGAGCGGGGGCGGTCCCTACAGTCTGAATGAGGCTTACAAAGTTGGGGCCCCTCCTCTCAGCACACATTTCCTCTGTGCCCAGCACTGGGAGGGGGTTGGGAAGGAATAATGAGGCTCAGGTGAACTTTGAGGAGCATGTGGGCTGGTGAGATGTGTGGCCAGAACGAGGATTAAGTCTGAGGTCTGACCTGAGTTTGAATCCTGGCTTTGCCTCTTATTTGCTGTGTGATCTTGGGACTGTCATGTCACTTCTCTGAGCCTCAGCTTCCTCATCTGTGAAATGGGGGCCAGGATACCTGCCTGACAAGGTGGTTCTAAGGCCTGAGTAAGAAGGGGAATAGAGAGCTCCCCTCCATGCCTGCCACATGACGGCCTGGGTGCTCAGTGAGTATTCCCTGGTTATCTTTCCTTAAGAAAGTGACACGAAGGTGAATTTGAGGTCAAAATAAAGGAAGATTCTTCTGTCGACTAAAGTGCAATGGCAAGAATAAGGCTCTCACTTTATCCAGTATCCTCCAGGCACCAACCACTGTGCTAAGTGCCTTACACACATTACGTCATTTAAGCCTCATAATAATCCTATGAGGTAGGTACAATTACTGTGCCCACTTCACAGATGAGACGTGAAGTGACACAGCCAAGGTCACACAGCTGGTAAGTGGCAGAGTCTGTCCAGACTCAGGCTTTCTGCTCATGCTTTTATGAATGGATGATGCTGATGCCATGGAAACATGCTGAGCGGTAAGATGAGGAGACCCTAGGAGGAGCTGTCAGGGATGCTGAAGAGCAGGCTGCAGCAGTGGAGGGGGAGGTGGGCCAGATATGTCCCATGCTCCCTTTTCTCCCATGCTCTGGCTCCTCTGGTTTCCTGGGCTCTGCCCTGGGATGGGAGGCTGAATGCAAGGAACACAGGAATAACTTGAGATTGGGAGCTGGGGAGGCCCTGACCCAGGTGATGGCAGCCTTTAAAGGGAGCGGGTGGTAGGAAGAGTCAGAGCTGGGGCCCAGAGTTTGACATTACCTGGCTGAAGGACTGGTCTCTCCGGAAGCCGCGGTATCTGGACCCAACCCATCTGGAGGAAAGGAGTGGGAGGGAGGGAAACTGGAGCTACCCATCATGCACTTCCTGCCCACCCCGTCAGGGTAGCCCCTGCAGCATCCCGTGGGCTCCTGGGCTCTCACTCACCTGGGCTGGTGCCGTGGCCCTCCTCCGTGGGGCTCTCGGGCCACTCCTCAGGGGAGCTGGGCATCACTCCTGCCCCTTCCTCTGACTCTCTCTCCTCCCCCTCATCCTGCTCCTCATTAGGACTGCCTGACTCCTGGAATGAACATGATCTGCGTGAGCTCAGCCACACAAGGACATGCCCCAGACTTTGTGAGGACTTCGGAAAGATCTGGAAACCTGAGGCCACAGTGCTGCATCCCCCATCCCTGGCTTTTGATATCAGTGGGAAAAAGACTAGACTTTCCCAAGGGAATAAAGCAGGGGAGGCTTGCTTCCTGGGGTGCAGGGGACTCTAGAATGTTGTGGGGGCCTCCTCCCTCCTCTCCTCTGCCTCACTCACCACCTCCTCCTTCACATCAGCCTCCTGAGGTTCAGCCTTGGCCTCATCTTCCACAGCAGCCTTCTTCTGAGAGTCTGCCTGGGCCTCTGGGACATGGGCTTTCTCCTGGGCTTCAGCCTTGGGCTCCTGTGTTTTGTCGCTCTCCTGAGAGGCTGCCGCGGCCTCCTCCTGCTCCTCAGCCTCCCTAGCTCCAGCCTTGGGCTCCTGCTCCCCAGCGGCCTGCTTCAGCTCAGCCTTGGCCTCCTCATTCACGTCAGCTTTCTCCCCAGATTCAGGCTTGGCCTCTTTCTCATCAGCCTTCTGCTTCTCAGAGGCCAGCATGGTCTTCTCTTTTCCCTCAGCCTGCTTGGGTTCAGATTTGGTCTCTTCTTTCCTATGGGCCATCTCCTGAGGAGCCGCTGTGGCCTCTTCCTTCCCACCATCTTCCTTCTGAGGTTCGATCTCCCCTTTGGATTCCACCTTGACCTCACTCAACCCATTTGCTTCCCCCTCGAATTCAGCTGAAATGCTGTCCTCGTTCTCGGCTGGTGCTCTTTCCTGTTTTCCTGCCTCATCTGGGGTCCCCTCTTTGACAGTCTTCTCTGCTGTGCCTTTGGCCACCTCCTCTGCAGAGGCTTCACCTCCCAGCGTCCCTCGGGCCTCTGCAGTCGGGGAGACGGTGGTCCCGTCCTCAGAGGGCTTCCCTTCCTTCTGCTCCATCTCTGGAAAGAGAAAAGAAGCAGGCGTGGTCATGCCCCATCCTTGTGTGGAGTCAAGTCCCCACCCTCCAAGCGCTGGCCCGGGAATCTGGAGGACTGCCGTTCGCTCCTGGGTCCCCCCACTTGGATATGTGACATGAGCACCCACGTTCCCTGTGGTAAAATGAGGGGATAGAGCACTGCTTCCCCAAAGGTGAGGTGTTGGGCCACCGTGACCTGAGGTTGGATGGAGTTCACCGCCTCTCTGCAGACTGTGGCTTGGGCTTTAAAGAACCTTCGATCACATAATGACTTTTCAATGATTTTGCCTCTTTTGGATCAAAGCCAAGGAGGCAGTTACAGTTTGAGCCTCACATCCTGGAACGCCCGTGGAGCAGTTGCTCGTCTCCCCTTTTCGCGGCGGGAGCTAGCCTCCGGCTCAGAGCCCAGGGCAGGCAGGAGTATCCAGATAGAATTTAATAACACTTTAGTTTCCATTGTATTTACTTTTACAGTTACTTTCTATTTTTGGCCAGTGATATGGAGTTTCCATTTCCAGTTGTGGTATAAAGTTTCGTTTAAAACTGTTTATTGGATTTTAAAGTAAGTGAATTCAAAGGAAGACATTCAGGAAAGCAGACTCCGGATGGCAGAGATGCAGCTAAATTACGGAGGTGGTGTAAAAAGGCCTGAAATTTGGGAAACCCTGGGCCAGTTGGTCTCTGGGTCTCTGCCTGCTCTGCCACTCGGTGGTTCTCAGGAAAGGTGGGCCTGGGCATGGAAGAGAGTCCTTTGGTGAAGAATGAGAATGTATTTACTCTCTCTAACCTCTGTGGGGAAATCTGACCTTCCAACTCCCGGGCAGTGTGGCGGGAGAGGGCGATTATGACGCCTTAATTTGGAGTTTCCTAGTCAAGTACTGTATATACTGTAGGATCTACAAAAACAGGTGTGCGGGAGAACAGGGCCAACTCCTTCATCCCCCTGCCCTTCTTGGGGGTCTGTTTACTAAGAAAACAATCCCCAAATAGGGTTCAGGGCATGACTCAGGCAGTAAAAGAAGTAGACACTCCAGTCACTGTCTAAAAATACCTCCTGCCCTCTGCAGTGCCATCCTTCTGGGTGACAGTACCCAGGGCACCTGAGTAATTGGGACAGAGGCAGGAAGACAAGCAGGTGAGGGGCAGGGCTCTGTTCCCACCATGCACTCAGGTCTTACTGCCCCCCAGACCAGAGTCCTGGGGTCCCTGGATTAGGTGCCCCCCATTTCCAAGGAAGCAGGCTGGGATTTGCAAAGATGCTCACATTGTCCTCCAATTCCCCCCTTCTACTCCTCCCCCACCAACCCCTCACACCAGAGCCCCTTGATGGTTCAGCTGCTCCAGCATGTATTAAAGTGAGAGGGGAACAAATAAGCCTGGGAGATGGAATGGGATCAGCAGGGAGCCAGGAGGCCGTGGAGCTGGCCTTGACCCCCATCTCCTAATCACTCACTCTGAGACATCAGCAAGTTCCTTCCTCCTTGGGCCTCAGTGTCCACTGACAGTGACAGGATTGGTCTAGATCAGGTTTCCTAAACTCTGTTCTGTGGAAAACTAGGGACTCCTTAAACATTAACAGGGGCTGGGGGATGTGTATTCTCTGGCTAAGGCTGTTCCAGAAACAGACATATACAACTTCACACATATATATACAGATATACAAGTTCCAGATCAATACAACTTCATTAGCACTTAAATAGATTCCATATACCCCACAGTAAGGAAACCTTAACATTGTTTAGCTTTATTTAACTCACTTTCCCCCAAACCTATCTGACCATGGATCTTTTTTCCCTTTACTCCCTTTGCTTTCTTTTCTTCCTTCCTTTCTTTTTTTTTTGTGAGGAAGATTGGCCCTGAGCTAATATCTTCCTCTTTTTGCTTGAGGAAGATTGTCACTGAGCTAACATCTGTGCCAGCCTTCCCCTGTTTTATGTGGGATGCCACCACAGCATGGCTTGACGAGTGGTGCTGGGTCTGTACCCAGGATCCCAACCCTTGAACCCCTGGCCATGGAAGCGGAGTGCGAGAACTTAGCCACCACGCCACTGGGCTGGCCCCTGCTTTCTTTTCTTTTTGCTTTGTTTTTCCTGAGGAGCATGTACCACCCTCCTCAGCAATGCCATGTTTGGCAGAAGAAGATACAGCAAATGCTCATCTAAATGATCCACACAACGTCTCCCTGCGTGTGTTCTAGTTTGGAAAACGATATGGAGAAGTGGTGAGAATCGCTCATTCTGGAGTCTTCCCACGATGGGATCCCGGCTCCCACTCTTTCCTAACTGTGTGACCTTGAGCAAGCTACCTGCCCTCCTGCATTTTGATTCTGGAAATAGAAATTGGGATGGTGGAGGGTTAAAGAAGCCAATGCGTAGAAAGGATTGTGAGGCGTGCCCGGCCTGGAGGGAGTGCTTGGTACACATCTGCTCTTATGGTGTGGGTTGGCCTGTGCCCAGCCCTGTGCCAGATTAAGGTCCTGACCCAGCCATGAGGGCATTTAGTTGGTAAGACAAGTCAAAGAGAGCGGAACACCAGTAAGATGATAACAAGCCCTTTTTATACCTCAAAGTGTAGTAATCGGCTAAGACATAGCTGAGTTGCAACCGTCTTTCCCTTCATCGACAGGTTACACACCTAGGGTGGTGGAGAAGGGCAGGCGTACACATGCACACACACACGCACATCCTGCGTGTTTGGCCATCCTGTGTGTTCATCACCTCTGCTTTCCACCCTCCAGGCTTGTCATAAATAGACAAGGAGTGAAGACACTCAGAATGCTGAGAAACCAGATAACATCACCCACCCCAGCATTAACAATTCTATAGCAATTTACAGCCTACGCTGCAGTGCCCTGCTTCATCTCACTGGTTCTTCGGAATAGGTATTATTGGCCCGATTTTAGAGATTAGGGGTTTAAGGCTCGGGGAGTTGAAGTCCCTTGACTAAAGTCATAGGACAATTAAATGTCCAAACTACACCTAGAACCCAGGTCTCCCGACAACCCATCCAGAGCTTCTGCCAAAGATGCTGCTCCCACCAGCTCCTCAGCCAGTGTCCCTTCAAAGGCTCCAGCCCAGAGTGAGGGGCACCAGGCTGGTAGGGGGGCAGTCAGATATGGCTGAGGAGTTCAGCTCGCTTCTTGTTTTTTTTTTTTTGGAAGATTAGCCCTGAGCTAACATCTGCTGTCAATCCTCCTCTTTTTGCTGAAGAAGACTGGCCCTGAGCTAACATCCATGCCCATCTTCATCTACTTTTTATGTAGGATGCCTACCACAGCATGGCTTCCCAAGCGGTGCCATGTCTGCACCCGGGATCTGAACCGGCGAACCTGGGCCACTGAAGCGGCACATGTGCACTTAACCACTGCGCCACCAGGCTGGCTCCTCAGCTCTCTTCTAAGTGCACAGGAGGCCCTTCCTTCCTCCTCTCCGCTTTCCTTCCTCCTTCATCCCCAGGAGACCTTCATACCATCCCTGCTGTGTGTCCAAGCAGCACTACAGACAGCTCCCTTTTCCCTCTGCCTGTTTCTTTTGGTAGAGCCAAAGGAAGAGAACCCAGGAGCCTAAGTTCCAAGCCCCAAACAGCAGAGACGACACTCGAGGGTTCTGCTGATACCTCCACGACCCACTGCCACCCAATCTGTCTTCCGGTGGTCCTGAGGCTTCCACTATCCCCCTCCCCAGCCAGGGACCCTCCCTTGGAGAGGCCACATTGAAGTGCTTAGAGAGTCTCCCTCCCAACTCACCTGGATTGGTGAGACCTGCAAGGCCCTCTCTACCCCTGTCAGGTCCTCCTCATGGACTGCCACCTGCAGGCTACTCTGCAGGTGATCTCAAGTTGCCCAACACCCCAGGGCTGAGTCCGTGACCTCTGACATCTAAAGAGAGGGCACAGTGGTGGAGAGAATTAGAAAGGAGCCTGGGGGCCAGCCTGGTGGCTCAGTGGTTAAGTTCACATGCTCTGCTTCGGCGGCCAGGGGTTCACTGGTTCAGATCCTGGGCGCAGACCTACGTACCGCTTATCAAGCCATGCTGTGGCAGGTATCCCACATATAAAATATAGGAAGATGGGCACAGATGTTAGCTCAGGGCCGATCTTCCTCAGCAAAAAAAGAGGAGGATTGGTGGTGGATGTTAGCTCAGGGCTAATCTACCTCAAAGAAAAAAAAATAGAAAGAAAAGAAAGTGCCTGGCCCGTTGTCACTACTCAATAAGTATTTGTAAAAAAGAAAGGAACCTGGATTTCTCCAACCACGAGGCTCTACTTGGAATCTCTGGCCCTTGGAAGGTGGGAGGTGGGAGGTGGGAGGTGGGAGACAGGTTGGCAGAGGGAGGGGGGCAGTTAGAAAGGGGCCCAGGGCTTTTCCTACCTGTGGGGCTTCTGCCTGGGGGCTTGGGAGCGCTTTCCTTCCTCTAGCTGAGCGGCCTCACTCCCAGGCTGCCTTTAAGCCGGTAGCCTCTAGCCCCTGGCTCTTCCTTCCCCCGCCCCCCACCCCACCTTCCTCCCCGCTGTCCCCCCTTCAAGAGCCTTGAGCCACTGAAGACCATTGTTTACTACTCTGTTGGTACAACACTTTCCCCTGGCCTGGGAGGCTCAGATTTCCCAGGAAGGTCTGACAGGTGGCACCTTTCAATCATAGTGAGTCCCTCCCGCCCTGACCCTGGCACCATCGTCCTATGGTCATCTTTCTTCCCAGTGTACTCGCCTGGCCTTAGTAACCCTGGAAACCATCTGCAGGCCCATGTGGAGCATGGTCCACCAGCCCTCTGGCCTCCCCTACCTATCCAGAGACCAGGCCAGTCTTCCTCTGCTCCTTTCACCCCCTAACCCCGCTATGGTCCTTTAAATAGTCCCTTTTGCACTTTCTCAGACAAAAGCAGCTGCTGAAGGGTGGGCTAAGGAGGGGCTGAATGGAACAGCTGCTGACTTGGGGGATGTGTCTCGGGGATCACAATGGAGAGAGATTTGGGGTGGGGAGGGGCGAAGAGAAGGATGATGGCCCAACCTGATGGATTGCTGGGCTCGGAGTCTAGAAAATACAAAACTGAGCTCTATTTTGAGCCAAAGTGACTGGCACACAGTAGGCTTTGAACAAATTTTTGTACTAAATTGAGATTTTGCTCAGAAAAAACAAAACAAATCTTTACCTTCTCTATGTGTCATGTGATCTCAGAAAGGCCCTACTTTTGGAGAATGTGTGCAGGGGATAACCCTACCACTGACAAAGCTCGTGAGTCCCCCAACCCTCTCCCCTAGTCCCCACCCCTTCAGCCACACTGGCCTCCTTCCTGTTCCTGAAATCAATTGATTTCTTTTCACACTCAGGACTGTAACCTTTTTGCTTCTGCTCATTGTGAGACTGGTTCTTACTCATCCTCCTGCTCTCAGCTCAGATTTCATTTCCTCGGAGAGGTCTCCGTGACCTTCAGTCCCTCTCCATCATTTCATCCTGTTTTATTTTCTTCATAATATTTATTGGAATACAAAATTACCGTATGCATTTCCTTATTATCCGACTCTCTCAGGAGACTCTAAGCCCCATGAAGGCAGGAATTTTACCCACCATGCTCATGGCTATCTATGTGCCCAGGGCCTAGCCAATTTTCTGGTTCACACGAGGTGCTCAATAAATATATGTTGAATAAATAAATTAATTAGCTAATAGAAATATGGAATAGGAACTTGGGGCCTATGCGTGGGATGATCTGAAAGTCAGGTGTGGGTACCAATAGTTGAATAGTCTAATATTGATGGTTATCAGCTGCCTCTAGTGTCAAGATGTCTCCTTCACCCATTTAGAACTTATCTGCCCAAGATTGGTGAGCTTTTCTCTCTGGCCTGCTGTCCTTTTTTAAAATTAAAGCTCTTTTCTCTTCTTGTCCTGCTGTCCTTAGGTATTGAAAACAGCAAAATAGTAGATCATTGTATCACTCATTAAACCTTCTCTTAGACAATTCATGTATTCACTGATTAAATGGTCTTTGAACACTTGCTGGGGATACAGCTGTGGAGATAAAAAATAGGCAAAACTAGATCATAGAGCTTACATTTTGGTGTGGGGAGATAGACAGTAAGCAAATTAATCAAAAGAATGTCTTATATTAGAGGCAGTAGGTTCTACGGAGAAAAATGAAGCAGAGAAGAGGATGAAGAGGCATTTTATTTGGGTGGGTGGGGGACACACTGTTAGAAAGAGGGGTCAAGGAAGCCATCACTAAGAAAGTGATACTGGAGTAAAGACCCAAAGGAAGTGGGAGAGTGAGGCATGCAGCTACCCGGAGAAAGAGCATTCCAGGCAGAGGGAACAGCAAGGGGAAAAGTAGGAGTGTGCTTGGTGTGTTTGATGACCAGAAAGGCCAGCAAGGCTGGGGCAGAGTAATGGAGCTGGAGAATGGAGTAGGAGATAAAAGGCAGTGGGGAGCCAAATCATGCGGGGACTTGTAGGCCACTGTAAGGACTTTGGCTTTTGGTCCGTGATCGGAAGCCATTGGAGTGTTTTCAGTTGTGAAATGGCATGATCTAACTTTAGTTTCTGACAAGATCTCTCTGGCTGCTGTTTTGAAAAGAGACTGAAGGGGGAGCATGAGCTGAGGCGGGGGAACCAGTGAGGACATTACTGCAGTAACCCAGCTGCAAGATGGTGGAGGCTTGGACCATGGCGTCAGCAGTGGAGGTGAGAAGGGGTGCGAATGGTAATAGTGGACAACAGTGATTAAGACTGTGCCAGCTTTCTTTTCTAGCTAATAGAATGACTATCCCATTCCAGGCATTGACGTTCTTATTGTCTCGTCTCCTGTTCATCTCAGGAAAGTCCACCCAGGCTGTCTCTCATGAGTGGTCACGGTCCATATAAGATCCTAGGTGACAACCCTCTCTCCCTTCCTCTGGGGCTAAGGTCCCATCCAAGAGGACAATACTAACCCGTGATGAGTAGCAAGTATGATTCCCCTCAGGGAGGCTGGGAGGCTGGGAATGGAGAGAAGACAGCATAGAGTGAGGGACCAGAGCTTCAGCATGGTGCTCACAGAGGTCAGCGGTTTTGGATGATGTATCTGGATTCCAAAGAGATCTTGGAAAGCTAGGGCTATAGAAATTGTCTTCTACAAGAAGAAATTTAGCAGGCACAATTGGAGATTCCTAGTGATAAGCTTCTCAAATCCCCAAATGTATAAATATAGGAAGGAAAAGACACAGTCTCATAGTAGATAATAACAATAACATCACCATCAAGAAGAACAATGATTTCCCAGGTGCTGGGGGGAGAGGAAATGTGGAGTTGCTGTTCAATGCGTGTAAAGTTTCAGTTATTTAAGACAAATAAGTTCTTGAGATCTGCTGTACAACATTGTGCATTTAGTTAACAATACTGTATCGTGCACTTAAACATTTGTTAAGAGGGTAGATCTCATGTGACGTGTTCTTGCCACGTTAAAAAAAGAGACAGTTTTGAGAAATTGGGGGAAATTGAATATGTGCATTGGATTACATGAAGAAATCACTATAATTCTGAGGGTATGAAAATGGCATTGTGGAAAAAAGACTTTATCTGTTAGAGATACAAACAGATGAGGAAAATATGGCTAAATGTTAACAATTGTTAAATCCTGATGATGGCTATGTGGAAGTTGCATATACCGTGCTCTCCACTTTTCTGTTTTAAATTTGCCCTAATAAAATTCTAAAAAAGAATATGAACAATGATTTTTATTGAGCATCTGCCATGGACTAGCTGCTTTAAGTACATTATCTTTTTTGTAATGATTTTTTTAGCTTTTTATTTTGAAATAATTATAGGTTTACAGGAAGTTGTATAAATAGTACAGAGAGGGTATTGAAGGTTAAATCTTACTTAAGATTTATCCGCTGAAGGTTAAATCTTACATAACTATATGCAATATCAAAGCCAGGAAACTGACATTGGTACAATGGTGTGTATAGTTCTATGACATCTTATCACGTGTAGATTCGTGTGAACACCTCCACAATCAGGACACATAACCATTCCACCACCACACAGATCTCCCTTGGGCTACCCCTTCATAGGCACATCTCCCTCCCCACCAACTCCAACCCCGGGCAACCATTAATCTCTTCTTCATCTCTGTAATTTTGTCACTTGAGAATGTCATTTATATGGAAATACAGTATGTAACCTTTCATAACACCTAATAAAAATCCCCCCTAGAAAGCAGATTCCTTTCGTAAGAACCAATCTCCTTTTTCCATGCAATTTTTCTTTCTTTCTCTCTTTCTTTCTTTCTTTTTGATGAGGAAGATTGGCCCTGAGCTAACGTCTGTGCCAATCTTCCTCTATTTTGTTTGTGGGATGCCACCACAGCATGGCTTGATGTAGGTCCCCACCCTGGATCTGAACCCTGGGCGCCGAAACAGAGCATGTGAACTGAACCACTACACCACCAGGTCAGCCCCTCCATGCCATTTCTTAATATTCCATAATACGTTGACTACATTCTCAAAAGCAAAAACCAGGGCAACATATATGCACTAAAACGTATGTATGACAATATTCATAGCAGTATTATCATAATAGCCTCAAACTGGAAACAACCCAAAAGTCCATCAACAAGAGAATGGAGAAGGACAGCAATAAGAAAGAATGAATAACAGATATGTATAACGATATGAATGCATTGAACTAAAGAAGTCAGGCAGAAAACAGAAGATCATGTATAATTCCAAGTACATGAAGTTCAAGGGCAGGCAACACTAATTGATGGTGCTAGAAGTCAGAATAGCTGTTAACTGCAAGAGAGGGGGTATTGACTGGGAAGGAACCTAAGATAACATTTTAGGGTGCTAGAAGCATTTTGCATATTGAGCTAAGTGGTGGTTTTCAGAATGAATAAATCTTAGAAAATTAAGCTTAAGATTCATGTATTTTACTCACTTTACTGTATGAATGTTATACCTCAATTTTAGTGTCAGGGCACAAGGTTTGACAAAGATGAGTCCTCAGAGCAGAAAAGGCCCAGGGTTGAAAATCGGACTTTCTTGGACAATTAGGGAAGCATATGGTGATCAACCATATAAAGTGTCCAGTCCACCTTTTCCAAAGGGCAGTGTCCCTTTGCATCATTAATCTGCATCTTCTATATTTCGTTTATTGGGAAATCTCTTGAAAAATCAAGGGTTGAAGCAGGTTTTTCTGTTGTGGCGGGAGTGCAGATGGAGGAATACATTGTCTTGAAAGATGAAGAGTTCACAAGTACCCTCCTTCTTCCTCACCCAAAGGTACTAGGTTACCTCTAATGAGGGCGAAAATTGCTCCTATTCATCTCTTTATGGCCCAGGGCGGTCTAACAGAAGTTGAATAAAACATAGCGCATACAGGTCTCGTTTTTCTGCGAGTGGGAACCGTGCCTGGCTTATCTTTGCAACCCCAGAGAAAGCTTAGTGACTACACCCAGCGGAATTCACTCAAATCCCTTGGAGCATTGGTCCTCAAACCTGGCTGCTCATAGGAATCACCTGGGTCCTACTCCCAGCGATTCTGATTTAACTGGTACGAGGTGACGCCTGAGCACCGGGATTTTTTAAAGCGTCCCAGTGACCTTAACGTGCAGCACAAACATAACTGCTGCTTGGGGGCGTTGCTCCTTCTCCACGCCTAATTTGTGCTCAGGCGTCACTCTCCGGGAGCGAGGGCGAGGTTCGGGGAACTCCGTCACCCTGCCCCTTCCTTCAGGACCAATAAACTCAAACCTCTCCGCCCAGCCGACTCGACATGCAGGCACTCTGCACCCCGCCCAAGCCTCTATGGTGTTTTGGCGTCCCCTCTAGCATTTCCAAGTCGCCCTCGCCCTCGGTCAGGGCCGGCCGCTCCGTCTCTATGGTAGCGGATTTCCCAGCGCCGGATCGTTGGCACTTGATTACGGAAGCGGGTCTGGATCAAAGCAGAGGCGGGACTTCCCTCTCGGAAGTGACCCACGTGCTTCCGCTTTAGCCTCTTGAGGGCCTTGGTGAGTTTCTAGTGTTTGCCTGAAGTTGGGGACACCGGGAATATTGTGACCGTCCCCAGGCCGTGGTGAGTGACCATCAAGGTGACCTTGATGATGGCGCCGCCTTTTTAGGGGTTCAGCCCCGGAGTCGGGGCCCGGGCGCCTTAGCTCCGCCGGTGATCGAGTTCCCAGCTCCCCGGAGGTTCAGGCCAACGGTTTAGTGTGTCCGTTCTGGTCTCTCCATCTGCTCCTGGATAGAGGTGACCTCAAGGGACTGGGCATCAGGGCTCGGGAGCTCAATTTTAAGCCTTGCCATTGACGTGCTGTGTGACCTTGGGCTAGGCAGTGTTCCCCTTCGGGGCCTCAGTCTCCACATCTGCCAAATGGGGTGGTTGAACTCACTGAGGTCATTGGCCCCTGCCGGTCTGATGTCCTGTGATTCCTCCGCATCCTCTAGCCCCTGGGATGGGAAAGTGAATGGGAGGGGTGGCTGCTGAAGATGTCTGCTTCCAGGACTAGGAGGCTAGAAGATCTCTTCACGGTGCGGGGCGCAGATGGATCCGCTTAGGGCTCAGCAGCTGGCGGCGGAGCTGGAGGTAGAGATGATGGCTGATATGTACAACAGGTAAGAACCTACTCTGTGCTAGTCTTAGAGAATGATCCTGGGTCACCCATTCCCAGGGCAGAGGTGGATGACTTCTGAAAAATGCTTTTCTCAATCTAGGGGAGTCTGAGGTCCGTGCCTACCCTCCCTGGCTCCCCATGGTTGAGGGCTAATGCAGCCGCAGTATGGGGTCACTAGACCGAGTTGAGCATTTAGATTGGGATGGAATTGGCAATGAAGGAGCTGAGTGGGAGGAGAAGCTCCAGTCCAGGTTCAGGTTAGGTTCAAGGACACTTGAGCATTTGCCTTTTGACAAAGAGCACACAGCCCTCTTAGTAGTTCACATTTCTTAAACTCTGACTCTCAGGCAATTGTTGAGCATTTTACATGCAGTATCTTCTTTTTCATCTTCAAAATAATCCACTGGGTTAGTTTTACTTGTCCCATTTTAAGGTGAGGACATTGAGGCTTCTAGAGGTTAAATAAACTTTCTCAGAGTCCACAGCTGAGCAGTAACAATGTCAGGACCAGCACTTCAGTCTGACTCCAAACTAGTGCCCATGACCATTTAGCAAATTTGCGAACAAACTGTAGGTCCACCAGTCACCACCAGTATGGCCTTTGGCAAATTACTTGGGCTGTTTGACCAGTGGTTTCCCCATCTATAAAATGGAGATAATAGCACCTGTCTCATAGAGACGTCATAAATATTAAGTGTAAAAATATATAAGTTCTTAACATCAAGCCTGACATATAGTGAGGAGTCAACAAATGTTTGCTATTTTTATCGGCTTAAGCTCTCTGGTAGCCTCTCTTGATTAGTTGGTTTATCTTGGAGGATATATATTTGAATAATTTGTACCTTTACCACTTTTTTTTTTTTTTTTTTTTTTGCGGAAGGTTAGCCCTGAGCTAACATCGGCCACCAATCCTCCTCTTGTTGCTAAGGAAGACTGGCCCTAAGCTAACATCTGTGCCCATCTTCCTCTACTTTACATGTGGGATGCCTGCCACAGCATGGCTTGACAAGCAGTGTGAAAGTCTGCACCCAGGATCCGAACGAGCAAACCCTGGCCCTCTGAAGCGGAATGTGCGAGCTTAACCGCTGTGCCACCGGGCTGGCCCCCTATTAGAATAATTTTTAAATGTAGGCTGTGGAGTCAGCTACCTGGCTTCAGATCCCAGCTGTGTGGGATCCTGAGGCTTTGTGCCCTAAGTTCCTTGTCTGTGAAATGGGAGTAATGATTGTGCCGACCTCATAAGGTTATTATAAAGATTGCATAACAGAATCCATGTCAGCACTTAGCGTAATGCCTGGGACATAGCTAGTACTCAACTAATGGTTTCGATTTAATTAGTCAGAAACGTGGGCTCCAACGAGGTTCCCCCTCTCAAAGAACTTTCAAGGTGGTTGAGGCACAAGCTCAGGATTCACACTGCCTTCTTGGGAGGTGGAATCCGTATAGCAGGGTGGGAATGGTTGAGAGGTCCTGGTATGCCACAGGATGCTGCCAACCTGACCTTGCCCTCCCTCCCCCACAGAATGACCAGTGCCTGCCACCGGAAGTGCGTGCCTCCCCACTACAAGGAAGCAGAACTGTCCAAGGGCGAGTCTGTGTGCCTGGACCGCTGTGTCTCCAAGTACCTGGACATCCATGAGCGGATGGGCAAAAAGTTGACAGAGTTGTCTATGCAGGATGAAGAGCTGATGAAGAGGGTGCAGCAGAGCTCTGGGCCCGCGTGAGGCCCAGACAGTATACGCCCCAAGGTGCACCCTGCCCCTTCCCACTTGTCTAATAAAAATGCCCCCATTGGGTGTCATCTGTGAAGACTGCCGGGCCTAGGCTCTCTCTGGAGAACCTCCAGGAGCCTAGAGTATGGTAGAGCTCTCTCCTGGTCAAAGAAGGGGTATTTCTCACACAGGAATGTGACTGTGTATGTGTGTATGTATATATATATTAAAGCAAGTCTGTTGACACCTGTGTGCAAAGCAACATGCCTGGCCCTTGGAAGTAAAGGCAGCAGACACAGCCTCGACCAGCAGAGGGAGTCTGATGTAGTGTTTATAGACTAGTGTGATGGCTTTGGTTAGCACCCCAGGTCTGCCACTTGCTGTGTGACTCTAAATGTGTCACCGCACTGTAGTTTAGCTTCATCATCTGCAAAATGGGGATAATCATTGTGTTCCCGTGAAGATTAGGTGAGTTAATATGTGTGAAACATTTAGAAAAGTGACTGGGTCGTAGGAAGTGCTCAGTAAATATTCATTATATATATGTTTAAATAACTACTTAAAATTTAGTGGAGATGGGCAGGCATTTTCACAAATGATAGAAAGGAATGATTTAGAAGAGAGGGTGGAAAGTGGATGGGATGTAAGAAGGAGGTAGCCAGCCTTTTGGTTCTAAATGGCAGGATTGAAACGTGTGAGGGGACCCAGCTTTCTTGCCGATGTGAGTGACCCTGCCTGGTAAGTGATCCAGGGCGGGGCCTGAGTGATGACCACTGCCATTCAGGGTTCCCCTGAACCAGGCACTGTGCGCATGCCTTGTCTTTGTACAACATCTAATCTCATCCATCTATCTGGGCTAAAGGTCCTAGTAGGCAGTGGAGGCTCAGAGAGGTGGTTGCCTGCTGGAGGGCACACGAATGGAGCGGTAACAGGCTGAGGCTGACTGCTGCGGTTGCTGTTCTGCTGGGGAAGGCTGCTTCTCATTCCTGTCCTGAGGATTGCCCTTGGAGAGTCATGCAGCTTTCAGAAGGTGTGGATCACACTGCAGGTGCAATTTTGGTTGACACCCATGCCCCTGTGAGGGCAGTACCTTCACAGGGGCCTTCACGGTAGAAGGAGGTATCTGGGAGGGAACCTCACCAGGTCATTGGGATGGAGAAAAGGAAACAATAGAGGGAGTGAATTTGGGGCTTAAAAGTGCAGGTTCAAGCCAGACCGCCTGGGGTGAAATGTACTAGCTGTGTGATCTTGGGTGAGGTTTTGACTGCCCTGTGCGTCAGTTACCCCATCTATAAAATGGCAATAAAGGTACCTACCTCATTGAGTGGTTGTGAAAATTAAATGTGTTGATAACTAAAGCCCTCAGGAGAGTGCCTAGCTCTCCCATGTTAAGTACTCAATAATGTTAGCTTTTTTTAATTATTATTTTATTGCTAAATTTGGTGTAAGGAGACATCGGATAAGCCCTCAGAAAATTTCATAACCATTGTCTGCCTACCTTGGTTGGTGGGCGGAAAGCTAAGGCTTCTTTCTAGGGACTGAAGTGCACATTTGGGTCAACAGGTGGCGCTGTCTGCTCACGGAATCAGCACTGCTGTGGCCAATTCAGCAAATGTGTATTCTCTGCCTGTTCTGTCTGGGCGTTGTGCTGGGAACAGGGGTGTGGTGAGGAAAATAGATACTGTACCTGCCCTCAGGTTTAGCAAGGGACATCAGGAAATTCTCTGATAGCACGTAGCTGGGACATCTAGAAGGAGTGGTAGGAGTGGAGGGAATAGCACTTGGCAAAGGCTCTGAAGTGGCAGAAAGTGTGGAACATTCAGGAAACAAAGCTTCAGCGTGTCTGGAGTGCTGAGGGTGAAGGAGGTCGTGGTGAGAGAGGAGGCTTTAAGGACTGGGCAAAAGAGCCTGATGAGCTGTGTTAAGAAGTTTGGATTATTTTCTACTAAGGGCATCAGCAAACTGTTGAAAGATGTAAACCCTGGCGGTGAAAATGACAGAGCTGCATTTTAGAGGCTCCCTCTAGCTGCCGGCCGGGTGGATAGTGGGATGTGATGGTAGGTAATGGATGAAGGGGAGATGTTCCAGGGAGCCTATAAGAATAGCTATGAAGTTGCTACAGTGTGCTAGTAAGTACATTATTTCAGTTAATCCTTTTAACAGCTCTGAGGCAGGTATGATTATTCTCATTTTATAGATGAAGAAGCTGAGACTCTGAGAAGTTAGTAACTTGCTGAAGGTCACACAGCAAGCTAATGGCAGAGCCAGAATTCCAACTTATTCAGACACTACAGCCCACTCTGAACCTCTCCTCTAGCAATGGGGGAGAATGCTCTGTAATGAGATATTTGTCAGCAATTTCATTCAACTATATTTATTGTTGGCCTGCTACACACATAGAGCGATAGAAAGTGTCCAAAGTGAATTAGCAGGTCCCAGCCCTCAGTGAATAGGTGCAGGTGGTGGGAGGGTGGGTATAGGAGAGATGGAACAGATCTACAAAGGGCGTTAGAATGGACTAAGCCCTTTCTGCCATAGAGAGGAGTCAAAAACTCCTAATCCTCATGCGTTTTTGCTAGGTTATCACAGTTTTAAAAATCAGGAAATGTCTCATAAAAATCTGGACTTAGCTTCTTTTAACAGTTTAGAAGATCTGACAAGTCAGCCTTCATTTGTGCTTGGCAGCAGTCAGCCGAAGGATGGGCAGGGGCTCGGCTGTCCACCAAACCTCCCACTGCTAATTTCTCCCCTCGTCATCCTCCACTTGACCTGTGGCCTGTGGTCTGTGCCTTCTGCTGCGTGTTCAGATGAGCGGATGCTGTATGAGAAAACATGTAAATATCCTGGCCTAGGCAGCCTCTAAGATGGCCCCCAATGATCCTGCCTGCTGCTCTTCATCCCTCAAATATAGGCATTTGCTGCATAATGCTGTTTCAGTCAACAATGGGCCACGTGTATGTCGGTGGTCCCATAAGATTAGTATCGTATAGCCTAGAGATGTAGAAGGCTACACCATCTAGGTTTGTGTAAGTACACCCTACAATGTTTGCACAGTGATGAAATTGCCTAATGACACATTTCCCCAAACGCATTCCAGTCATCAAGCAATGCATGACTGTAATCCACTTGCGTGTGCACTAGACATAGAAGCTTGTTTCTAACAAACAGAGCAAAGGTGATGGCATAACCTCTGAGGTTAAGGTACAAAAGATTATAATGGCCACCTTGTTAGTTCTCTCTCTCCTCTTGCTTGCTTACTCTGGTGAAGCAAGCTTCCATCTTGCAAGCTGCTGGGGAAGAGGCCTGTGTGGTAAGGAACTGAGGGTAGCCTCCAGCTGCTGAAGAACTGAATCTGCCAACAACCACATGAGTGAGCTTGGAAGCAGATCCCTCTCAAGTTGACCTTTCAGATGACCACAGCCCTGGCCGACACTGTGCAGGAGGAGACCCTGAAGCAGAGGACCCATCTGAGTTGCACCCTGACTCCTGACCTAGAGAAACCGAGATAATAAATCTTGCTTTAAGCCATTACATCTGGGGGTAATTTGTTATGTAGCAACACATAGCCAATACATGTGCAATTCTCACAACTGTTGGAATTGTCTGAGACCATGTTGTCCTTTCTACAACTTCACCTAGAATGGACCAGGTACCATTCCAGATATTTGGGATACATCAGTGAACAAAACACATAAAGATTCTTGTCCTTTTGGAGCTTACATTTCGGTGGGGATGGTTTTACAGAGTAGAAGTCTGGGCTGACAGTGCTGTTTTGAAGGAAAGAGCTCCTTCAGCTCCTGGGGAGAGGTTCTTAACCTCTTTCAGGTCTTAGATCCCTCTGAAACTCCAACAAGAGCCACAGACGGGTTCTTCAGCAAATGTATGTGCGCTTAGAATTTTGCACGCAATTTTAGGGATTTTCATAAGAATTGTTGTAGTCTGACCCGAGGGGAGTCTTGTGGCGAGCAGAAACAAGAGAAAATCTAATGGGGGAGACATACTAAAATAAGTCGCTTTTGCAGTTGGGCTAAGTGCTACAAGACATGACCAGGGAGGCATGGTGCTGTAAAAAGGAATGTGTCCCCAAGTCTGGGTGCTCAGAGAAGGCTGTCCCTCTGAAGGAGATAGGTGAGTGAGATTTGAAGGATGGGTAGGAATTTGCTAGGCGGGGGGCATGGTGGGTGGTGGGTTCTGTGTTAAGTGGTGGGAGGATGGTGGGAGGATGGTGTGGGCACAGGTCCCTGCTCTCTGGCCCATACAGTTCAGCAGAGGAAACGGACACATCGTGATGGGTTTTATGAAAGGGAAATGCGGATGATATGTATGCCACATAGCAAAGGGATTTATTGCTGGAGTCAGGCAAGGAGCCTTCCCCAAGGAAGTGACCCCTAAGTCACATTCTGAAGGATTAGCTTGGCCGGGGCAGGGGAATATTCCAGACCTAGGATGAACTTGGGGTGAGAGAGACCATAGGTTATGAATGAGCAAGTAGAGGTCACCATGGCGACAGCTTAGAGAGGAGGGAGGTCAGAAGGGGGGCTGGGGCAGCAGGTGGGGCACAGACAGACTCAGGGACACTATTGGGAATTTGTACATTTCCCCAACAGTCCTGGGAAGCTTTCAAGGGGAGCGACCCCATCTGTGTTTCCCGTAGATCATTCTGACATGGTGGGGTCATGTGCACAGGTGGAATCGGAAAGATGAGGTTGAAAGGGTTGCAGGAGACCAGGTGGAAGCTGCTGATGACCCAGGCTTCGGGGACAGCAGTGGATGGAGATGAGAGGTCTTTAAAGGGAGGAACCACAGGCTTGCTGGTAGGTTGGATGTGGAAGGTGAGGCTGGGAGCAGAGCCTGGGATAACTCCAGTTTTCTGGCTGAAGCAACTGAGTGGAGGGTGGTGCTTTTAGGGACGTGGGCAACAATGGAGGAGGAGCAAGTTAGAGAGGAGGAAGGTCATTTTTGGTTATTATTGAGCACTTATGATTATCTTAGAAGATCCGATGCAAGTGTATCTTTCCAGCTGCACCCTCACACCACAGTCCCCCTCATTCTACGTGCTTCATCCACCCTGTTCAGCTCCCGAAATGTCCTCCTGCTGTAGAACCTCTGCATGCGCTGTGTTCTTCTCTTGGGGGCTGATACATCCTACTGATTCGAACGTGGAAAGCTATCTTCAGATCGTGGCACAAGCAGCACCCTTACGGACCCCTTCCTGACCTCCAGTCTAGATCAACCCCCTCCCCAACTACATGTTCTGATAGCATCCTACCTCTGTCCTCCATCCTTTACCCTTCATATGTGATTATTTGACTCATCGATGCCTCTCTCCCACTGGCCTTTGTGTTTGTTGAGGGTAGAGTCTGTAGCTTATTCAGCATCGAATTCCTAGTGCCTGACACGTGCAAAAGTGTTCTTTTTAAATTGAGATATAATTCACATATCATAAATTCAGTCTTTTAAAGTGTACCATTCAGTGGATTTTACTATATTCACAAAGTTGTACAACCATCACCACTACCTATTGCCCAACATTTTCATCACCCCGAGAAAAAGCCCCATACCCTTTACCAACCACCCCCCGTTTCTCCCATCCAGTTCCTGGCAGCCACTAATATGCTTCTGTCTCAATGGACCTGCCTATTCTGGGCATTTCATATAAATGCAATCATACAATATTTGACCTTTTGTGTCTAGTTTCTTTCACTTAATGTTTTCAAGGTTCATCCATGCTGTAGCATATATCAGTATTTCATTTTTTTATGAGTAAATAATATTATATTGTATGTTAGCATACACTAATTTTGTTCATCAGTTGATGGACAATTGGGTTGTTTGCATTTTTGGGCTATCATAAATAATGCTACTGTGAGCATTTGTGGCTAAGTTTGTGTGTTGACATCTGTTTTCAATTCTCTTGGGTATATGCCTAGGAGTGGAATTGCTGGGTCATTTGGTAACTCTATTTACCTATTTTCAGAACTGCCAAACTGTTTTCCGAAGTGGCTGTAATATTTTATTCACATTTCTCATACAAAGGTTTGTAATAACTATTTGTTAGTCTGAATACATAATTTCTTTTTTCTTTTCTTTTCTTTCTTTCTTTTTTATGGAGGTACATTGGTTTATAATAATTTCTTACATAGTGAACTGGATACTATTGTTTCCAGCATTTAACAGACTAGAAGAGCGAGGCTCAGGAGCATAAGTGCCTTGGACAAAAACCACACAACTAGTCGGCTGCAGACCCAGGATCAGACTGGCCCAGGTGACTCCTCAGCGAGTACTCCTGTTCTCAGCTGTGGAGCAGACTCCAGCCAGGAGCCCACAGGAAATCCAATGTGATAACGCTCTTCTACTCAAGCCGTGAGTGGTGTCAGAGGAACAGAGCGAAGGAAAGGATTACTTTTGGGGGCAGGGACACAGATTGATAAATCCCATTGATTCTGATACGGAAGTGTGTCTTAAATCTCTTCCCTTTTCTCTTCCAGGTTTTTTTTTTTAATCTGAACTATTACACTGGTCGCCTACCTGCTCTAAAGTCTCCCTTCTTTCCGATATGTCCTCCTCCATTCATTAAACACACAAACACAACCATATCTCTCCCCCCTCCTGTCTTTTTTCTTTTTTCTTTTTTTTTTTTTTGGTGGGGAAGATTGGCCCTGAGCTAACATCGGTGCCAATCTTCCTCTATTTTGTATGTGGGACACCGCCTCAGCATGGCTTGACAAGTGGTATGTAGGTCTGCTCCTGGGATCTGAACCCAGAACCTGGGCCGCCGAAGCAGAGCAGAGCACCACCCAACCAGGCCAGCCCCTCTATCTCTTTTCTTAAAAACAAACTAAAGGGGCCAGTCCCATGGCCGAGCGGTTAAAGTTCTGTGCAATCTGCTTTGGTGGAGCAGGTTCAGATCCCAAGTGCAGCCTACTCCACTCATCCGCCATGCTGTGGAGGCGTCCCACGCACAAAGTGGAGGAAGATTGGCACAGATGTGAGCTCAGGGCGAATCTTATACACACACACACACACACACACACACACAAACTGAAAGAAAACAGAATCCAGAAGTTCCCATCATCTATCACACTGGAAGTCCTTGGCCTCGCAGAGGTCATTCCAAACTGACCCCAGGCTACCTTTTCAGCTCCATTTCCCACCACTTCCTTTCATTTATTCAACAAATGTTAACCATGGGCTTGTTACATGCCAGGTCCTGTGCTAGGGAGCAGGCCTACGAATCACCTACAAATGTGGTTCCTGCCCCCAAGACATTTATATCTCATGGGGGGGGGGCAGGCAAACCAAACTGATGATTCTAGATCAGTGTGAGGGCTTCATAAAGGTATAATAGTACTTTGGTGGAGCACATGGGCAAGACCCCCAATCCAGCCTAAGAGATCAGATAGCTTCTAGAAAGAGCTGAAACCTGAGTTGAGTTGTGAAGGATGAGTACATGGGCAATGAAGAGAATCTGTGGTTCCTACAGAAGGAATAGCAGGAGAAAAGGCAAGGGGGTGTGAAACTGGCTGGCTTCACACTTCATTCCACAGGTGCTCACTGAGCGCCTTTGAGGTGCCAGGTGCTGTTCTAGGTGCTGGGAACACAGCAGTGAACACAGCAGACCAGGCCCTTGCTCTCACTGAGCTGACGGTTCAGGAGGGGAAGACATGGAAATAGGGGTTGAGGATGAAGGGTAAGTATTACAGCCATGGGGGTCCGTGGACCCCTAGAGCCCGTGGAGGGGGTACACCAAAACCCCGAAATTTGAATGTAAATGTGTGTGCTCATGTTCACACGTGCATTTTCACAGGGAGTGGACTCACGACATTTTATTGTATTCTCAAGGGGATCCATGACTGTCTTGGGTTAGAACCCTTATTCTAGGGACTCTGTGCTAAGCTAAGGAGTTTGACCTGGATCTGGAAGTTCTGAAAGCCAGCAATCAATCTTAAGAAGGGAAACCATCAGAGCCTGACACGGTGCTCCTGCCAGAGAGAACTCCTCGTGCCTTTCCCTCTGCTAAGCCTTTGTTCTTGCTGTTCCCCCTGCCCGGAGGAATGAAAAGGGCCACACTTAAAAGCCAGACAGATCTGATTTTGCATCCTGCCTTTACCCACCATGTTCCAGCTGCCAGCCACCAACCTTCTCCCTCTGTGAAAAGCTGTGAGCTTTGTATGAGACCATGATGTTCTGAGGATTTCATGATCATTTTTGTTTGGAAAGTGCCCAGCACATAGTGGCCACTCAGCAAATGTGACTTCCTCTCTTGGCTTGGTGGCTCAGCTGTTCAGAGAGCCTCTCTTCTCTGAGGTCTTCTTGGAATCTCCTGGGCAGTTGCTCACATTCCCACAGAGCTTTCCAGTATCACCAGTAACGCTCTCGGCACACTGTATTAAATTTACATCTGTATTTATTTGCCTTTGTCATCATCATCTCATTAATCAACACCACAGTCCAAGGAGTGACACCTCCCCTCCATTTTACAGATGAGGAAACTGAGGCTCAGGGAGGTTGAGACATTTACTGGGAATCAATAAGTGTCCGGAAGCATCCTTTCACCACGTCTTCTGAAATAATGACAGCCACCACCACAATTAACATTTATTATGCTTACTACATGCCAAGCACTGTGCTGAGCGTTGTACCTGCATCACAACCCCCAGTCAGAACCTCCACTTCCCTGCAGGTAGGTCGGTGCTATTGTCATCCGAATTTACAGAGGAGGAAACCGAGGCTCCGAGAGGTTAAGTAGCTTGCCCAAGGTAACCCAGGCCAGTCAGTTTCAAAGCCGAGACTCAGGCCTCCATCTGACTAACTCCAAAGAAACTCGTGTCATTCTGCCTCTCGGAAAACACTACTCCCAACTACACAGTTCAAGACCCCACCCAAGCCTGCCCTGCATCGCGGTCTGCGCGCTCCAGCCGAGTCGGTCTTTGTTTTGGCCAAAGATACAGAGGGCGCTGCCTGATTCGTCTGGGGGGCCGAGGGAGAGGGTGGGAGGCGAGAGTGGAAATTTTAGGTGCTGGGGCAGAGTATCTGGGGACCAGAAGGCGAGTCACGTGCGCGTGAAACTCGACCTAGGGGGAGGGGAAGGGAAGGGAACCCCCACCCCTACCTCGGGGCGCAGCACCGGACGGGTGTAAATACCACTATTAACTCGGCAGACTCACTTCTTCCATGCCCTGCTTCGCAGATTGGTGGCGCCCGGCGGGTTCCCAGCTCCTGAACTTCTTCCGAGGGGGCAGAGAAGGCGAGCACAGCAGGCTGTCGGGCTGAACCTCCGAGGCCGCAGGAAGCCAGCGTGCGGAGGAGTCCAGAACGCCGGTGCCGTTCGTTGCTGGGCCCCCAGGACACCGGACGCCGAGAGTGTGGACCCGCCACGAAGGTTCTGCGCTCCTGCAGGAGGCGCGTGTGCTCCCGATAAGAGGTGAGCTGTGGGTGGGGGAAGGGGTTCCCCGGCGGCGCTTCCGCGGAGCCACGCGGGCCGGCTCCCACCGACGCTCCCAGGCTCCGCAAGAAAAACCCGTTACCTGAGCCCGTGGGTCCCGCGGCGCATTGTCCCATCTCTTCAAGCGCGTCCCTCCCTCCCCTTTACTCTGGTCCCCCCGACTCCCCTCTTCCGCTGGGCCCCCCTCTTGCTGCACTTCCTCTGTCTAGAGCAACACTCTTGCCAGAGTTCGAACGGACCTGCGGGAGCGTCTGAATCTAAAGCTCCATTTCACAGATGAGGGTACTGAGGTCCTCCCCTCCCCGGCAGGACTTGTGCTGTCCTCCCCTCCCCTCCCTCTTGCCCTTCCCTGCCCCTCTTCTCTCAGCTTCCCTGGGTCTCACTCCCCTTGTGCTCCCCGCCCCCGCCGCGCGCGTTGTATCTCCTCCCGCGGTGGCGGCCGCGGCGGCGGGGCGCTCCGGCTCCTTCCCTCCCTCTGGTAAACACACCCGCCCGCCAGCCCATCCGCCGACACTGCCCTTATAAAGTCAGTGACCGCCGGACTTCCTGCCAGAGCCCGATCCCCCTCCCCGGGCAGGACGAGGCGGGCGGGCTCGGAGGCGCGCAGCGTGGTGCCCCGCGCCCTACCGAGTGAGTGAGGGGCTTACGGGGCGCCGTGGACGCTGGAGGGCCCGCCCTAGGTCTCCTTCCACGTGGCAGCTGTTGGACCGAGAGACTGTAGAGACCTGGGTCGCCTGGTGCAGAAATGGGGAGGGCTTGCTGTCCATCAGCCTCAGAGGAGACGAGTGGTCTCATAGGGGCTACAGGAAGGAGGGGAGGGGGTCTTAGGCTAGCCTCAGATTTCCCCTTCCTCCTCCTGCTTGCTTCTGGGGGACCTTCCTGGCGCGGGAAGCCGGATACTGCCCAGCGGTGGCTTCAGAGCGCGCCCTGCCCCTTGCTGACCTTTGGGGACTTGGGGTTTGGCCCCCAGGAGCAGGGCTCAGCGCGTCCCGGACTGGGTGGCAGAGCCGGCAGCGCTCCAGAAATCTGTTGCGCGCAGACAGGACCTTCCTTATCTCTGATAGTGGCCCGGGGCGGAAGCCCAGCGCCAGGTGCACACCTGGCACTGCCAGTGCGCCCAGGGCCAGATTGGCGGCACCGGCTGGGAAGCCCGGGGAGCTATGGGACCTTCGTGAAAGCCCCCTTGCAGGCTGGCTCGAGGGGTCTCAGGAGCCACCATGATGCAGGACCCTTCCCAAGGGTTGCTGGGGATTCCTACGCTGAGCGCTCTGTTCCTGTGCAGGCTCGTGGCCAGCATGGCCCCTACGCTGCAGCAGGCGTACCGCAGGCGCTGGTGGATGGCCTGCACGGCGGTGCTGGAGAACGTCTTCTTCTCTGCCGTGCTCCTGGGCTGGGGCTCCCTGCTGATCATGCTCAAGAACGAGGGCTTCTATTCCAGCATGTGCTCAGGTATGCTGGAGAAGGGCCAAGTCAGGCTGGGGGAGGGGCCGCAGAAGGGGAAGGTGGAAGCTGGAAAAAGACAGGTGGCCTAGTAGACAGAAAGCAGGGCTGCTTAAGCAGTTGGACACGCCTGCTTCTTGATGTTTTCAAACTTCGTCTAAAGAATGAGGGCATTCTGCCCTCTCCACCTTGTTTATTTAATCCAGTGTTTACTGAATACCAGGTGTCCTGCTGGGCATCCAGAGCCTGCGACTGACTGGCAGGATCCTAAGCCTTTGGCAGCCTCAGGTCTAGAGCAAGATGGAGGCTCCTGGTAGGAGGAGAGGGATTTCTCAGTAGGGCTGTTGTAAGCTGCATAGGGCGAAGGAGAGCCCACAACGGGGATTTAAATATAAAGGGGCTGCGCGCCTCCTTTTTCAGGACCTTTGAGCCCCCAGGTCTTCAAATCATCCCTTTGCACACAGTTAATAACCTCATTCCCCCTAGGCCAGGCATTGTGGAGGGTCTCTTGTCTTCCATTTCGGTCACCCTGGCTTTGTGTGAATTGCCCCAAATGTGGGAGGGGGAATTCTAACATTACTGAATAGTACTTTATTGTCTGGATTTACCACATTTTATTTATCCATTCATCAGTTGACAGACATTTGGGTTGTTTCCGCTTTTTGGCTGTTATGAACAGTGCTCTTGTGAACGTTCATGTACAAGTCTCCGTGTGGATGTGTTTTCCTTCGTCTTAGGTGCTTATCTAGGAGGGGATTTGCTGGGCTGTGAGGGTAAGCCCTCGTTCCTCGTTTTGAGGAACTGCTGGATTGTTTTCCAAAAGGGCTGCACCGTTTTACACTCCCGCCAGTGGCGGGTGAGGCTTCCAGTTTCTCCACATCCTCACCCACACTTGCTATTGCTCGTCTTTTTTATTATAGCCATTCTAGTGGATATAAAAGTGTTACCTTTCTGAGGTTTGGATTTGCATTTCCCTGATGGCTAATGATGGTGAGCATCTTTTCATGTACTTATTGGCCATTGGTATATCTTCCTGGGAGAAAGGGCTCTTCAGATCCTTTGCCCATTTTTAAATTGGGTTGTTTGTCTTTTTATTATTGAGCTGTAAGAGTTCTTTCTATTCTAGGTGAGTCCCTTATCAGTTATATGATTTGCAAAATTTTTCTCCCAGTGTGGGTCATCTTTTCACATGCTTCACGGTGTCCTTTGGAGCACGAAAGTTTTTAATATTGATGAAGTCCAACTTGTCTATTTTTTCTTTTGCTATTTGTGTTTTCGTGTCATGTTTAGGAAGCCATTGCCTAATTTTAGGTCATGAAGAACTACACCTCTGTTTTCTTCTAAGAGTTGTATAGTTTTAGCTCTTACGTTTACATCTTTGATCCATTTAGAGTTCATTTTTGTGTGTGGTCTGAGGTATCCACCTGGTGTTTTGAGTTGCCCTGAAGCGAGTGTGTGTCTGAGCCTGTTGTTTGGGATGATTAGAGGTGACCGGTGTGAACCCGCCTCCTTTTCTCAGGACTTACGCGTCCACACGTGGAAAGCAGGCATAATGTGTCTCTCTTCCCCCACCTCTCTTTCATTCAAGGGTCTCCAGCCTAAATCCTTGCGACATCAGGCTGATTGGGGGTGTCTGCCTCCGTCATTATGCCCTATCGAAAGCTCCCACTTTCTGCTTCTTAAGCCTCGTTCCTTGCGGTCTCAGCCTCCCTCTGCAGGGTCCTGAGAACACAGAATCAGACCAGGAGTCTGTGTCCCCATGGTGTGTGGAAAGAGACAGGCAGCATGGCTTCCAATTCTGTGATGTGCTGCTTGGCTGACTTGAGCCACTTACTGGACTTGCTTAATATTTCAGTTATCTTGCATGTAAACCAGGACCAACGATCCTTACCTCAGGAGGCTGTTGTGAAAATGAAATGAGGGCAAGGATACAAAATTCAGACTATAAGTGGGGGTGGTTGTTATGTCCTAGATCCAGCTTTGCCATCATTTGCTGTGTGATCTTAGGCAAATCATCTATCTTCTCTGGATCTCCACTTCCAAGTCTGTGAAATGGTGTGGACAACCCTCACCCTCCGTGCCACAGAGCAATGATGCGAGGACCAAATGATATCATTTAACAAATGTGGAGCTCATCATTGACGTGTTCACTCGTGTTGGCTTTGGGGTTCCCTGGCCATACCTGCTGTCTTCTCAGTGCTTTCTGCTCTGTCTTGAGGTATGCCTTGGGGTGGGTGGTGACCCACCTGTAGAGATGTCACAGACAGCTGAAAAGGGATCTGATACTCAAGAATTTGGCTAGGGGCAATTCAGTTCACCACACGCTACTGTGTATCCAGCATAAGTGCCCAAATAATAAAGCAGTGGTTAAAGTTCACTAAGCACTTACTATTTGCTAGTTTGATCCTTAGTCTTCATAACAAATCTGTGATGTGTTATAATAACCCCATTCTATAGAGGAGAAAGCTGAAGCTCAGAGAGGCTAAATAGCCTTCCTGAGGTTACACAGCTAATAAATAAGGAGCAGCATGAGGATTCAACCCCAGATCTGACCCCAGAACCCTTTTCGTAGGCTCATGGGAATAGAGTAGCTCTCCCTCACCTTCAGCTTAGAGTTCTCCTGGGGGCGTGCAGCCAGAGACAAGAAGTGTATTTTGGTGGCTGTCACTATGTCGGCTGCAGGAAAGGCAAGCCTCAGGGAGTGAGGAAGGGCTCGCTGACCTGGGAGACAAAGAAAATGCGATCATTTGGTGAGTGTGTGCACGGCAATCCCAGAGCCAGCCTCTCAGGTGGTTGCACCCACTCTCCCATTTCACAGGTGGGGTAACAGAGCCTCAGAGTTTCAGCAGCACAGCTGGCGGGGCCAGGATTTGCATGTGCTGAGTTCAGAGAGGATGCCTAACCACAATCCTGTTTGCCAGCGCTTCCCAGACCTAGTCATTTGTAGTTTGCCTTCATGATTTTACCGTTTCTGTGTGTCATAGGTGGTATTGTTGACTTAATACTTCCTTTTAAATCAACCCACTTTTAAAAAAATTAGCCTCATTTTAGAATATTCTTTTTTTAATTTTTAAATTAAAAAAAAATTTTTTTTGAGGAAGATTGGCCCTGAGCTAACATCTGTGCCCATCTCCCTCTACTTTATACGTGGGATGCCTGCCACAGCATGGCTTGACAGGAGTGGTGCATAGGTCCACACCTGAGATCTGAACCAGTGAACCCCAGGCCACCAAAGTAGAACGTGCGAACTTAACCCCTGTGCCACTGGGCCGGCCCCTAGCCTCATTTTAAAGTGTAATATCCTTAGAATCTTGGGTTTGATGTTATTTATACACACATGCACACAGATCATACATAATATATGTTTCTAATACATAGATGTATATATATATACATACATGTCTCTAACATACATACATACATATGTTTCTGATACATATATATGTATATGTGTGTATGTATATATGTTTCTGATACACATTCAAATAACTAATAACTATGAAACATCAAAAACCATTCTGTGTACCTCCTAAACCCATCTTGAGTGCCCCACCTGCTCTGTATACCACATTTTGGGAAACCCTGTTCTTCCTGGCTTCTAAACTCAATTCTATCATTAACTTACTGAATGCATTTTCCCTGTTCCACCCCATGCCTCACTTTACTTGTCTATAAAAGTGGGGCGGTTGGATTTCAAAGACCTCTTCTGTTGTAATCGGCACGGATAGAGGTCTTGGAGGTCTTTGTATCTTGGGCTGGCTTCCCTCTTAGGTCTGAAGACTGCCTTTATTCAACCACTCAGAGTGATCAGGCCTCAGGAACTAACTCATATTAGTCAAACTCACAAGAGGGTGATGGATAAACCATTCACACGAATGCATTCATTGGCCTTGAGTTATTAGCAAGTCACTGGGCCAGAATTCTCTGCCAGTGGAAGAACACATTTCCTGCCAGCACTGGCACAGGCTCAGGAAACTTACCAAGCTGCCTTGTTCAGGACAGAGAGGCCCTGTGGTGCAATGGAAAAGTGTTGGCTTTGGAGATTGTCTTGAGTTTGAATCTGAGCCTACCTGTGCAAAGCCGTATCTGTGACTGGGAGTTGCTTTGCTTCTCAGAGCCTTGTTGTCCACAAAATGGGCATCATTAGACTCACTTTTCAGGGTTATTGTGAGGCTTAAATGAGATACTATATGAAGAAGGCTGGCACAAAGTAGGTGTTAATTAATTGAGAGCAAGTGGGATTGTTTGAGAATGGAAGGGTCATTTGATTGTGAAAGAGGAGCAGGGACCGTGTCTAATTCAGGGGCTGCAAACTCAAATGCCAACAGGGGCCAGGCAGTTGGTAGTAATTGGACAAAGCAGGGCCGATGTAAGATGGCAGACCTCTGGGAGCTAAAAGAGAGGCTGACGTGGGTGAACCAGAGAGGGCAAGCTCAGGCAAAAAGGGGGGCCTCCACTCACCTCCATCAGTGGCCAGATCTTCTGACTTCTTAAAGAGAAGCCAGATTTTTATGTGGTCACTCCCTATTTTCAACTGGCACCTGATTAAAATTTGCAAGCCAAGCAAAACATATATGTGGGGCATTGCCTGTTTGCCACCTCTAGCCTAGAATTTGCATTTCTTCCTGCTTTACCCACTGTCCCAACACAGTGTGTGTCATACGTAGATGGCCAATAAGTGCACATAGATTGAATAAATGGGTGCAGACAAACTTGGTGGAGAAATGAACAGTGATCATAAAGATCTCTAAATTATGGGGCTAGCCTGAACCCCAGAGACTGTGTTGTCTAAACCCCTGACTGCTTCTTCCTGGTGCCTGAGCACCCTCCCCAGGGTTCCTGGCAGCTGGCGCTTACCTATGGGAAACTCTCCATTGCTCAAGGCACTCCGCCCCCACCCAACACCCCCCCCACCGCCGTTTGGCCAGCACTCATGATCTGAGAACTCTTCCTTATGTTCTTCCTTAT